GGCCCAAAACCTCAGCCCTGTTTTTCAGTGGGCGCGGTGTTAGGGTAGCGCCGATTAGGATATATCTCTGTGCGTTGTGTGTTCTATGTGTTTCTCCCCTCTTGTCCTGCCCTGCGGGCTGTTTTTCATCATGTCGTTTGACCAGAACTTGATTCCGTGCCGACGGAACAGAGGGGGCACGGCGTGGCGGCGGCGGCGATCGTGCTTTGCCTTCATTTCTAACAATCGATTGTTTAGAAGCCTGGAACGGAAATTTATCTTTCTCGATATGCTCGAAGATGCTGGAAGATGCTTCGAAGTGCTCGAAGATGGAGGATCTGCACAGCACTTACAAAGCTCCTGGTCTCATTGTTCAAAAGCGGCGATGAGGCACGGTAACGAGAACTTGACTGCATTGCTCTATCTGCATTCCCATGTGACACGAGTAATACGAGCATTGTTGATAGCACATGATACCAATTCACTGATCGGTGCAACTTACTGGAACAGCTGGACGATCCTGAACTCTGCGACCGATAAGCATGCGGCAAAGACGTCTACACGCGACCTACATTCAAAACAACGAGGGATTAACACAACCACACGCCGTCGATTTTGATTTGAAAGCATTTTTATGCGAAAGCATTAACTGTCTTGGAGTGGAGCTGGCGGTGCCTGTAACCGCGTAAAAATGAGACAAAAAAAAAAGTTCAGCGTTTCCACTCTGGTGAAGAAGGAAGAGCAGCGGAGCTGTACTATGTGCTGCCATCTATGAGCGACAGCAGCAACCAGACAACCGGTAAGCCGGCTGTCTGGTTGCCGCCGTCTACCCAAGCACTGTAAGTCCTCTCATTGTACGCCATCCTTGGCGAAAACCAAGAGAATAGGAAAAACCGACCAGAGAGATTTTTGAAGCTTTTATTATTCTAAGCATGGGCGAGTGATGTGTCAGCTTTCGGTCTATTTAATTAACAGCTGAAATGGCCTTTTTTTAAATCGTCTTCCTGCGGCGAATTTTAAGTGTCCCCCTCGAGCTTGCGGTCCCTCGGGCGTGTAGTCCCTCGTGCCTGTGTGACCAATAACGCTCGAGTTCATCCCGCTTTCTGTACCTCTTTCTTTTCTTCTTTCGTCAATATACATGAGTGAGTGTGCGCTTGTCGGTCGTCTACGTGCTCCTCTTCTCTGTCTCTGTCCTATAAACTCGCGCTGGAAGCAAGTCATAGCGTACCACTACACGGGCGCCTATATCAACAGAGACGAGCTGAAGAAGTTTGTTTTTGACTCAGTCAAGCTCTGTGTGGACATTTCACTCCGTGTGCTCTGTGGGACGTGTGATATGGGCAGTTCTAACCGTGCCATGTGGAGATTCCTTAACCTCTCCGGTTCCCGCAGTTTTGTGATCGTATGCAGTGTGCCGCATCTCTGTGATGATGATAAGCCATTGTCCATGCCAGACCCCGCACATATGTTGAAAAATATAAGAGAGCACCTAAATTGTACGAAAGGTTGTAATCCATCTAAGTGACGTGGTAGCCTCCAAGTTCAATTTACCAAGATGCAATGCATCTAAGTGACGAGGTAGCCTCCAAGTTCAATTTACCAATCAGGGAAGTCTCAATAGAGCATGTGGAGATGGTACTAAAGTTGGACACTGAGCAGCTGCGTGTGGCAAGAAACTTAAACAGTGCTCACGTGTCAAATGGCGTTCCACGAAAATGAAAGTTGGAAAAGCGGTGCAGCTATTCAGTGAAGCTCCCTCGGTCATTCGGTATATTATCCAACAAAACAAACTGCCGGTTGAGGCCGAAGCAACTGCCTGGTTTTTTCAAACTGGCGTTTAAAGGGTACCCCTAATGACTACTCGGTTGCCTCGAGTTTTGCGAATGAGAGCAAGTATCAGGAGGCCATTTCAACTCTGAAGCTCAGTATTTAAGTCGTTGCGAGCTTGGGGATCGGAGTGAAGAAAATATGGAGGCCATGCCAAAGCTGGGGTACTAATGTCGACAACTGTAGTGTTGCTATTGCACAGTGTTCTTTCGAAAGAGTGGGGCTACAATTTTGTGCTGATAGGACGGTTAGCTCAAGACTGTTTTGAGAACCTGCTTTCAGTTGTCAGGATGATTTCTCCATTGCGAAACGCATTTGACGTGAAAAGTGCATTCAGAATTATGAAATTGAGCCAGTTCATCAGTCCAAAAAAAATTCATGCTACGACATTGACGACAGCACCTACCTGGTAAATTTCCTCTCCGCCGAAATCAGGAGAGGATGAGATTATAGAAATGGAACCACTCTCTAGAGCCGAGTCCGACATTGTTGTTCATTTGGCAGGGCTTTTGGTTAAACCTCTGCTCTCCGCTGTAGAGTCGTGCCGTGTCTGCACAGGAATGCTCGCTGCAGAGGAGGCTTCCGAGGAGCATGCTCTTGTGCTTATGAAATGATATGTTCAAGGTGGAAAACACCTCACTTACGTCAAATCTTCCATTTTTTTTTTTTTTTTTTTGTGGTTGTTGTGAGGGAGTATTGAAAGCGTTCTTAGAACAAAAGGACATTTGTCTTTTGAAGATCCCGATGAAGACCGTGAAACAAATTATTGTTCCTCCTGTTGAGTGCAGCGAACACCCAGATCTAATACGCAGGTTGTTGGAGCGTTTTGCCCTAATGCGCCTGCGAATTTACTTGCATTGGCTAAGTCAGCCGTAGGAGCCGGATGATTGCTATGGTAGCAAGGTCGCCGATATGAACTCGCAGTAAGATGCAGCTTTTCGCTTTTGTAGAAATAAATATTGTTGTATACTGAGTTTAGGTATTTGTGCCTTTTTCCTGTAACATAGCATCTGCTAGTGCACGTGTTATATAGTACAAAAGGTTATTAAACAAGTGCATAATATTCAAACTGAGCTCTGCAATAAGTGTCTCCTAATGGTAAAACAGATTCTCCATTTAATAACCCGTCTCACAGTCGCTAAAATGTATAATATTTTGCGATTATGTGCTACTTCATATCTCGAATAGTACGCACAGGGGTTGCCAATTTAAAGTGCTACACTCACTTTAGCAGAAAAAAAGTGGGGCAATAAAAAATTAAAAAAAAGACGTGAGAACCTAAAGCCCGTGCGCTTGTCATATTTGCGTCGCATCCGCTCATTTATTTTTTATTTATATGAGTAAAAAGACCCTCTTGGATCCACGTCTAAGTTGGAAAATATACAACACGTAATGGAAGTTGCTCTACGTAAGCGTACGTAAGCGCATCCTAGACTATACTCTGTTTCACCTTATGATCTACCGCAGGAAAGGCTACAAGCGCGAGCTCCTTAGGGCACATCTCGGCGGCACAAGCTCTCGTGCGTTAAGAGTAGCTCCCAACGCTATGAGCTCGCGCTTCTAGCCTTGTCTGCGGTACAACATAAGGTGAAACGGAGTATAGAAGTAGCCCACCCGAAACAGCGCATCTGCACGCGATTAAACCAAGATGGCGGCGACGACGGAGATGTCTCTACCCTGGACGGAGGCCCGTGTATTAATTTGGTTATCAATTGGTTTTAATGGGTTCCATCGATCTGCGAGCACACTCGCCAATGAGTCTCACCAGTTGGAACTATTTTTGCAGTTGGAACCTAAATGAGTTTCGAACGGTTCCTTTCTGTTGGTTCCAATTGGTTGTCCGAAAACCTAACTGGTACCAATTGGAAAATTCCAATTGGAACCTAATGGGAATTGTTATCTGGGAAGCTTCCCCTCGGACATGTTTACACTTGTCTTGCAAGGAGCGTCAAATGCGCTCAAATACGCCAATGAATGGGCGGCCCTTGGAAGCGGCGGAGCACCCGCTCGTGGCAAGTGTCTTGACGTTTCCACAACAATGATTGGCGATACTTGTGCGCATGAATTTTATCAGCGAACTTTATCTCCAATAAATATTCTGCGCAACCTGTGTTTGATAAATTACTAAAGCCCGTGCTGCGCAAGCTCCGCTGCATGTGCCGGTAGAAATGTAGGTACAGGCTAGCAGTAACTGCTCGCGTGTACCTACGCCCCCAGCCTTCTCCATGGGGCTTGGGTACGCAAGGTAATAATTAACAAACTGTGGCATCAAAACAGGAGGGCAGCCCCCCACCCCATCTCCGAAATAGTACCGACACCTCCGTTGGCAAAAGTCAAGGGTCCTCTTGTCCGCTTTACGACCCAAACTCTTTCGACATTCATCCTTCGATTTTTGCCGACGTATCCGAGCGCTTTCGATCACCGGGTGTACCCCCAAAAAATGTGCCTGTTCTTTTTTTTTTTTTTTTTTTTTTTTTTTCTCTCGTAAAAGTAAATTATGCATCGCCGAATGCTGCTTCTCTATACAGATGTAGCGCTAGAGATCTGAACTAGATGCTAAAGTTTGAGCAATAAACCTTATTTTATTAAAACGTTATGATTTTCTGCAAATTTCAATGGGAAAATGGCGGCCGACGGGGCTCTCGAATCCATAGAGCACCGAAAACAGGCAAAAATGGGCCCCATTTTCTCATCAAAATTCGCAGGAAATCGCCTAACTTTTGAATAAGATATCGACTCGTGCTGAACCTTTGGCAACTGGTTCGGGCCTCTAGTGCTACATCTGGGCAGAGAATGAGCGTTCTACAACGCAATTTCGCTTTTGCAAATATATATATATATATATATATATATACTTTTTTTTTTTTTTTTTTTTTTTGAGGGGGGAGGAGTTAGTTCTTGGAGAAGCGTAGAAGTTCTACTAGCATTACAGCGCATACCTGAGGGGCCTGACTGATTTTTTAAAATATATTTTTTCTGATTAGGAATAGCAAATTATGTACGGCTGCATCAAATATCTCGACAAGCACTAAAATGCTTGCTTTTGAAGCTAGACAAGAATAGCCTTTAAGCACTTAACATTTTCATGAATTACTCAACCTAGTCATATCCAGAATTATTATATTGGGTCCAGCACAATTGGAATTGTACTTTGGCATATAATCAGTATCTCCACATGTGTAGTACAAACTTAGTTGTATGATCGAAGCAGCATTTATTTCCAAATACAATAAACATTCAAATATTAGAGCGCTGAAATTGTCAAATGAAGCAAGATTAAAATCACATGACTGCAGGCCCCTGACATACATGGGGGAATTTTAATGCATTCTTCTGTAATTCAAACAAAAATTGTCCATATCATTTCTCGTTTAGCTCACTCAGTAGATGGTACAGAGCACTCCAAGCTCCCCAAATTGTCTAAGCAATTCCATTCAAAATTTCCTTTCTCAGAAAACTAAAAGGACTCAAAAGAACTGCATCAGGGCACTAGAAATGATACCCCCAGCCACAGCACAGTTCACAACTGTCATTTGTAAACTTAGCAAAATGCAAAATAGCCTTGCCTAGTTCCCGTATTGCATGTTAAGCAAGAGCAAGGTCTCCGTTATGGGGACAGCACTGTTCACATTGGTGCTGATCCCCACCTGGAATGCCTTCTGCAGCAACATGCTTCCATGCTCTTCTGCCAAGACTACAAACTCGGGCAGACGGTCCAATGCCATAAGAACCAAGTCCCTGCGCTCGCTCGCAAGGCATTGCAGATAACCAGAGATAAACTGGCCTGCCGTTTTTGGATTGTTCCTAATACTCAGAAGGAGCAGCTTGAAAGCCAGGCTGCAACAAGAAGTATTTGAACTTGTAAGCACAACACACTGCAGCTCGTCCTGGTACGCCTCCAAAACGTCCGGCTTCTTTGCTGAGACTGCCTCGAGGTCCTTAAGCGCAGATAGTATTTCCTCTGGGTCGGTCGAATCCCTGTCGAGAAGACGCCTCAGGTCCCTGCCCCCTCCACTTCGGGAGAACCCAGAGGACTGGCCAAGAGGGTGTGGCACAGAACTTCTGGGGCCCGAACCAGGTTCCATCCCAGGTTCAGCGGCGTGCTCAGACCCTTCGGAGTGCAAGTGGACCATACAGGTTCCAGCCAGAAGTGTCTTCAAGCTCATCATGTCCGGAAAAATGCTGGAGACATCTTGAAATGAGTTGTGGTGCACCTGGATCCATCGTCTTGCTGCAGTTGGATTGGTGTGCAGGTACTGGTGAATCAGAAGCAGAAAGCGGTTGAGGAGTCCCATGATGCGCTCCCTTTCGTGATTCCTCATAAACTGCATGTGCGATTGAAAGGCATCGACGTAGACGTTGAAGATGTCGTCCACTGTAGGTGCCCTCGTGTCGGAGAAAAGCTGGGGGGACAACAGCTCTAGAATGCCCAGCATGTGTACAAAGAATGAAGCGTGGTTTCTCGAACCGAAGAGCAGGGTGCCCATACCTGAGCGGCTATGCAGAAGGCTGGCCATCAACGGGAGCTGACGAAGCAAGAGTTCGGGATGGGTAGCAGCCAACTTCCTCGCAGCCAGGTGCAGGTCCGAGAGCTTGTAATAGGCCTGCTTGTTGTAGTCGGCGATGGACAGTGCCAGCAACAGTGTGTGTGACAGTGTGTCTACCTTCGTTTGGCCTGAGGTCTGAGGCTCAATGTCCTTCAGGACCTCAGCTATGGCATCCGAAGTGAACACAATGCCAGGAATGAAGAGATAGAGCTGGGTGAGCATTTCCTTTGCAGCTGTTCTGTGCTCCGGCTCATTCTGGGTGATGGTCATCAGGTGCAGCACAACAGAAGAGACGAGGAGCTGATCGGTGCAGCCCTGCTCCAGCAGAGGAAGCCGCGTGGAAATCTGGAGTCTCTTGTCCGTGCTGGTCGGAGACTCCTCCTTGGGAGCGGGAGTTGCCGTGGCTAAGAATTCATTAAGGATGTAATCAGTCATGGAACACACCTGATCTGGGCTAAAGACCAGAACCTTTTCTGGGGTGTAGTGCTTAGGAATCTTTTTATCGCGTCCCTGCCATATCTTCGGGATAAACATGCACGCCTGGAGGAAGTCCAGCACAGCAGAAGGATCATACTTCTTTATGGATGCCGGGGAGAGGATCTCATTGATAACCATATGTAAGGTGGTCCAGTGAGCTCTGTGAATCAGAAGTGCAAGCAAGTACGGCCGAAATGTGGTCCTCAGGAGTTGGTTGTTAGTGCTGTTCTGGAAAAGCAACTGGTGCTGAAGCTCTGGCGAAGACGAAATACATTCAGGTTCCAGGTGTTCCAGCCAGTCGACGATGACAAAGCTTGTGGTAACTTTCTCAGATTCAAACATGTTTTCGCAAAGGATCTTTGAGAGCGCATGGATCAGCTGCTGACTGTCACCTATCTTGATGGCTCTCTGCACCAAAACGCAGAGTGCCTCTTCAAATCGTTTTGACTCGTGGAGTGCAACCGATGTGAGGGCCTCAACAATGTTAGCAGACTTGGCATCAGCAGGCGTCAGTCTTCTTGGAGCCTGATCCTTGTTCCTCGAAGACGAGTGTGAAGTGCAGTAGTGCTTCAGAATTGCAGTGAGTGGTGACGCTGTCTTCGTTAACTCCAGGATTTTTGTGCAAACCCAGTGAAACTTGAAAGTCAGTGGGGAGTTTGAAGCTTCCCTCTGCTGGGCAGCAATAGCCAGCCTGAAGAGAGAACATGATATGAAAGACTTTGCATACAGTGCATTGACAAAGACCTCTCTGTGTTCATTTTCTAAGATGTGTTCACAAGTGTGAATGAATTCAGCCAGTGCACCACCAAAGAGACACTTCCTTAGCACATCATGAGAAAAGGCTTTCTGCAGCTTCCTAAACAGTTCTTGCTCCTGCTTACCCACCAGCTTCCCCTTTTGTGGGTCTAGGCCAAAAAGCTGAATCACAGCTCCAGAAATGGAGTCAAGGTGAGATGCCTCAGTAACCCGTGGAGGGGCATGCTGGATGACGGACGTTGGAACCGGCTCAATGTCATCAGCATCCATTGCACCATCACCTATATCGTTCTCTCCCAGGAGCCTGTAGAACCTCTCACCGCCCACAGCTCCTCTCTGGTGCTGCACTTCAACCAGCTGGGACATGTAAGCCTTATCGACCACAGCTTGAGCCACAGCATCTTCGTCATACTCAACAGCTTTATCCAGGCAGCAAAGAAGCTTGCTCATACTTGGAACTGGGATGCCAAAAGACTGTATGAAAAGCACGAGCTGGCTGGGATCCAGATCTTTCAGGGCAGCATCAACAAGGACATCCACCGATGACCGAATCATCCTGAGCTTGAGCCAATCTGGCAGCAGCAGGGCCTCCTCAGAAGTATCCACCAAGAAGGCTTGAGGTGGATCACCTCCTTTTGGGAACCAGGTCTCGAGGAGAGCATTGAAGGTTTCAGGATTTGTTTGTGGAGGTCCGTACGTCAGCAGGATGATCATGGAGTGAACAACTAAGATGTGCATTGTGGCAGTCTCTCCTGATGGCCACTGCAGAGTGATGTGATCTTGACATTCATACCAGAAGACGTCTTTAGAAGGCTTCCGTGCATTCTGGAGATAGCGGGTAAAGATGTCAAGCAGGGAACAGTGAAACAATTGGCTGTAGATGGTACTTGTTGTGTCTTGCAGGAGGATGCAATTTACGATCGTCGGTCTCTCGATTATCAGTTGGGTGATGTCTAGGGATAACTCTGACAGACCTTCGTCGGGAGTGTAGGTCGCTAGGAACTTGACATAGGCTGTGATAGCAAATGGATCATTCTCGACCTGGCACGCTTGTCGTAAGGTGGCACTAACATCGTGCCTGACCACACCAAAGTGGGGAAGGGAGGGAATGTCTTTCAGAAGCCAGTCATGGCTGTTTAGTTCAGTGCTCTGTCCTGCATCAGTTATCCCCGCCTTTTGGTTGAGCACAACCATAAGTCCCTTCGTAGCAAGGGTCCTTGCACCTTGCTGCTGAGAGCTAAGTCGCCTCATGAAATAGTCAAGGACTTCACATGTGGCCTGCACATCTTCATCCGGGTTCCTGAGCAACTTTTGTAAATGTTGAAGCAATTGCTGTTGCTTGCGCTTCTTGCTCTGAGGTGCTTTGCCTTTCCCCTTTTCCGGCTTCTCTTCCTCCAGGTCCCCATTCTGGCTGCATTCAAGTGCATCTGTAAGCAGGAACTCACAGAGACACTGAACAGGCAAAAGGTCAAAAGAGCCTTCACTAGACTCCACCAGTTCTGCCAGCCAGGGCATATGAGAAGTTCCCTGCCTCTGAATGATGTCAAGCAGGAAGTCTGGGTTCCGGCTCCTGCAGAGCAGATGGCCCAACTTGTGAGTTTCATTAAGGGCCTTTAGCTGATCTAACACTTGCAAAGGAGGCCTTCTGGTCACCCCCTGAGGGTCCATAGTTATCAGCTTTGAGAGCAGGAGGCTGTTGCTCTCAGTGATTGTCACTTTTGTTGAAGCTGCTGCTAGGTGAGTTTCAAACTCGAGGATCTTTTGCTTTTCAATCTGAGAGATTTGCATCTCACGAGTCTTGATTTCATCGGCTTTCTCACCAACTGCCAGCGTTGGTGGTGGAAACACGAAGTGATTGGTGATGCACATCTCCATCATACTGCGCAAAGTTGGATGACTCCCCCACGCAACCTCACCAAACGTTGATGGGTTATGTGCGACAACAATCAGTAGCATAATCCAGGCCTTCCAGTAGTAGTCTGCAATAGCCAGGTTGGGGGGAGTGTAGCCAGACGGCAAGGTGATGTTCTCGGGATGATGGTAAGCACAGAGGTGGAAAATGATCTCAATCAGGTCTGTTCTCTCCACAACAAGCACGGGATGAGAATCCTCTTTATAGATGGCAGAAGCCCTTCTCACCAGCTGTTCAACCAACTCCAAGGCATCAGAAGGGTTCAGCGGGTGCTCCTTAGACATCCCAATGACAAGGATGCGGAAGAGGGTGTCCTCCAGCACTGGAACATCAGACGCCAGTCTCAGCATGAGGGGCCTGTCCCCCTCTGGGGGCCAGTTGTCCTTGCAGTAATGCTCCAACTGTTCCAGAAAGAATGTCTTGTGCAGGCAGTGAATGAATTCATTCCGGCCTGGTTTGAACATTTTTGGCACTATAGTATGCAGCCACCAGACCGTGTCTCGTTGGATGGTGGCTACTTGCATCTGGTAGTTACGCAGTGCTGAGATGTCCTTCTTCTCTCCTCGGAAGAAGGCTGTTGCCGCCTCTCGCACGGCAGGGGTTATGGCCAGAAAGATGGCCTTGACAATCAGGTCGGTCAGGGACACAAAAAGGCGTTCCTTGAGGGTCTGGTCCACTTCCTGAAACTGGGCTTCCTTGCGCTCCTGCATTAGACCCAGACAGAATGCTGTAAAGTTAAGGTCATGACGTAACGAGCGGATAATCTCCCGAAAGAGCGCGCGCAGGCACCGCAAGTAGTCGTCCTTGTTAATCAACAAGTCTTGGAAGACTTCAGCAAGGACCTTGGCAGCCTTTTCAGGAGAGTGCTGGAAGATGACGGAGAGGAGCTGCATGTTATTTGGATTCCTCGAGTTGGAGAGTTCATTGTAGATGCAGTGCTTGAGGACCGTGCTCAAGTTGTCTGCATGTTGTCCCAGCAGCTCTTTGGCACACTGCATGAAGTGATTCACGACCGGCTTGGTCTTGAGTCGGATACGAATCAGGTACACGATCACGTCAACGTCGTGCTTGTTGTGCTGGTTGCAGTTCATGCACACCGTGAGCAGGAGATCTTGAGCAGGCCGGGTGAGCTTGGGGTTTTGCAGCCACGTCTCGAGCCTGTGGGCTACAAGCGACCGCACTTCGCTGATCCCGCACGCACAAACCAGGAGTCTCAGCAGGTTCTTTGAAATGTCCATCGGCTGCCTCCGAGTCAACTGCTCCTGGATGACCTCGAGGATGTAGTGCTCAATGTTTGCCTGCGATCCGGCAAAGCGCGGCACGACAACTATGTTCTCGGGGTTCTCTTTCAGGTCCAGGTGCAGACTCGACAGGGAGTCGTCGTCGTCCATCGCTTGCACCGGGGGGCTTGGACAGGCGTCCGGCTTGAACATGAGGTCAGGTGCGAGCATGCTCTTGGGCGGCAGCCTCGTGTTGAAGGCTGTGAGCACGTTGTCGACGAAGTTCTTGCACTCGTCGTGGTCCACCCAAATCCTGTCACCGAGAGAGTCTTCAACGAAGGCCTTCACGAACTGCTCCGGCCAGTTGACGCTGTCCTGGAAAGCGGCCAGGAGCAGGTTGCACGTCAAGACCGACGTCAGGTTGTTGGCCTTGGTCTTAAAGTTCACGGAGACGTCGCGCTTGAGCAGGCTGCTGAACGCCTCCACGACGACCTCGGAGTCGAAGACGCGGGGTCGCGTCTTGGCCAGGAACATCAGCGTGAGGTACAGCATGGGGTCCGGCTTCGGACGGGTGTTCTTGAGCGTTTTCGCGGCGCCGCACATGATCGACTCGACTTTGTCGTCGTCGCCGAGGTCTTCCGCTTTGAGGACTTTGCTGAGGAAGTCGGTCGGGTCTACCTCGACCGCGATCACGTCCCACTGGTCGCTCTTGGTCGGGACCTCGCGCTTGACGTGCTGGGAGGGCGCTGGGACGCCGAGACGAGCGAGCGAAGACGGCGCGGCAGCGGCCAACTTGGGCTTCTTGGACGACGTCGAAGACGACGACCCGCCGGCGCCTTCATTGCGCTTTCGGTCCGTGCTCGAACTGGCGCCACTCAGAGAGGACGACTTGGCCGAGGGCTTCGGTTCCGGAATGTCCGCTGCGGTCGCCCGCTGTTTGGAGCCGAGGGCGATGAAATCACCGGGAGGGAAGAGCGCCTTCACTTTGTTCGGTCCTCTCTTCTGAGAACCCTTCCCCTTCTCGCGCTCCATGATGGTTTTTATGCGATGGTTATCGTTTCTTTCGATCACATTTTACGCCTGTCGAAGGATCTACCAAAATACTATTTGCTCCTTAAAGCACCGGAGAGCAACGCTGTAGCAAAGCTACAAACACAAGCCATGTTTGCTGTTTTCCTTGAGAGGTTGATTTATGCGCCACCAGTTTCGTAGAAGAATAAATTTATTCGGAATACGTTTGTAATCATAAATCTATAATTTAATCTAGCAAAACATTATTTCAATAATAATAAATATTTATTTTGTATTACAAGTTGTAACTGCGATAAATAAATTACGAAGCAACGGCGCGTTTGGCGTCAATGTTGACAAGCAGGCGCAGTGGAAAGCAAAAATAGTGTGCGGTGTGATCATCTGCAAGTATGTTTGTATACGACGGAAACGTATCGGTACCTTTGTTCAGTTTCCTAGTCTTTTTCTGTTTTACGTCGTACGTTTCTAGTGTCACGCCAGACTGCGTCCTCGTGAACAAAGATTCTGCTGCTGAGAAGGCGTTCTTGGAAGGTCTGCACGATCTGAGAGGAGAAACGTAAGGAGGGATGCCGCGTCTCTTTAATCATTCAACGGCATTATACGTTAATTGCACTGCCGCCGACCGTTCTAAGCCCAATTACCCGAAACGAGCCCGTAATTGAGCCCATGTGGTAGTCGAACAAGTGGTCAGAGCCACAGCCACGTGCTATGCCCCTCACATCGAACTCACTTCAACTTTTACTACTGCCACGTTTTAAAATGAACATCATTCGAAACGTGCGATGGTATTGTAAGCTGGGGTTGTATGCTTTGAGTGGTACCTTTTTGCATTGCAGGTCGCCATTTGGTGTTGTGTTTTCTTCCGGTTCTCGCGTGCTTACTGCCCCTAATGCTGTATTTTGTTTTATATAAATGGGCAAGCTTTGCAACTGGGTACTGGTTGCATGGCTCTTATGCTTCGAGGATTGAGAGTAAGCATTACCCTTACCACTTACATTGCTTTTACCGAGAACTACTGATCAGGTATCAAGTTTGTTGTGCTTTTTTATAGGTGTCTTAATCTTAGGTTTTAAACACGAGGATACCTTTCGAGATTGACAGGTATTTCTGTAGCAGAAGGAAAAATGCTCCAGATCTTTTTGTTTACAACGTATTTTTCCCAGCGAATTTGGCAGGCTCCATGGTTCAGTTACGCCACCAATGGATGCATTCACTACAGTCACTGCCTTCGTCAATGCCATCGTGGTGGCATCCACCGTGTGAATGAAAGGGATCGTTGGCCGTTTGAAAGCCTTGCATAAACCATTCAAGATTTTGTACAAAGGTGGCCGCAGATGCTGCATTTTGTGGACCAAAACTTGAAAGAATTAGCTTACCTGCGTAAAGAGTGCAAAATTAAGAGCGTGAATTTTCTACTAATGTTTGCAAACGCTGTCTGCTAATGAAAGATGTCTGATAGCAGAAAAGCCGACAGACGGTGGCAGCTAAAAGCGGGGGCACAGACGCCAATTTCCGACAACAGACAAGGTTTCCGGCTCAAATGTGGCGCAAGCTTTTCCGGTGTAGTGCATGGTTTTGTTACTGTTGCTAGTAGAACACACTGAATAAATACAAATCTAACAAGAAAACCTTTTTGTTTGGCTATTTCGGCTATAACTTAACAGCTGCCACCGTCTGTCGATCGTTGCACCAATTAAATGGCTTTCGTTTGCAGATGGTCATTGTAAATAGTGGAACAAGTGTCTTAATTTGTTACTCTTTACTTGGGTAAGCTCACTCTTTGAACATTTGGTACTCAAAATCCAACACTTCTGGCCACCTGTGTACAAAATCTTAGCCAGATATATAGGGTGTCCCAAGTCACCAGGTTCTATCTAAAATGGACCATAGAAATCGACGCCTGCCCGTAGCAATCTAAACTTTTCGTCAAGGCCGGTTTTTTGGCATAAAATTAGAAAGTGTAGATTCCTTTTTGAAAAAAATAGTACCAAGAAACTTGCCAGGGTTAACGGCCGGCGGCAACGCAGACGATCAAGTCGAGTTGCAGGGTGCGTTTGGCGCTCGTATTGATAGATGGCGTTGGGAGCAGCGTCTAGTAGTGTAGCCGACCAGCGAAAGAAAGTAGACAACATGCGGGCAAAATCCGTTGGCAGCAAAAGCGCCATCGTTATGCAAACACGTTTTTGTTTTCTGTCCGCATTTATTTTTAAACCAAAGGTACAGTACAAAAAGATTATGTTAATTTTAATAAACCATGGTGGCCGCGAGCAGTCTCAATAAAGAGGTAGCGCCATCTATCAATACGAGCGCCAAACACACCCCGCAACTCGATCGTCTGCATCGCCGCCCGCCGTTGACCTTGGCAAGTTTTTTGGCCCTATGTTTTACAGAAGGGGGCTATGCTTTGTGTTTTTACAAGAAAAAAGCGACCTGTGAAATACTACACCTTTGACGAAAAGTTTAGATTGCTACGTGCAGGCGTCGATTTTTATGGTCCATTTTAGATCGAGCCTGGTGACTTGGGACGCCCTATATTAAGAAGCCACTTTATGCTGTCCCGTCAAAGGGCCAATGGTCCCTTTGACTGTGGCAGGACACTACATGGCCTCGAGGGAAAAAGTGTGTCCCTTTCGTCCGGCCGACTTTGTAACTCTGTGCTTGGGCACTGTGTTTAGCAGAGACATTTTCGTGCCTTCCCACTTGTTGTTGCTTTCGTTGAGGACAGCGGTTATTTCACATCTTTCCGAGTTTCTTGCCTCGGTTCTTGGTCGCGGTAGTTTCGTTCAATTTCCCTACGTCGTGTCTTACTAAAAAAATATCTGTCCGAAAATATAAAAAAAAAAACGAGCAGCTGCTTTGAAGCCCGTAGCAAGCTAGTAACTCAAAATTTTTATACTGTCTTTGTTAACGGAGCGCCCTTAGCTGACAAGGAATGTGGTAGTCGCCTCTTTGTGCCGGCTCCGCCAAGACATCAACTTCTTTTACAGGCGATTTGAACAGAAGACAGGATCATATCTGCTTCTCTATCTTCCTATTCTCAGCTTTTCGCTCGAAGAGAAAGTGGACGGCAAAGTGAGGACCGTCTACGAGATCGGGGTCTGTGCCGGCGTCAACAAGTCCCTGCCGCAGGTGGGAGCGCTGCAGCATTCCGTCGGGGACAAGGAGAACACGACGACTGTCCTGGGGTACTTCAACGCGACCACGGTGACGGGTTCTCACGGCCCCGGTGAGTGGTTCTGAAGGGGCAACAGATGACCTCGCGAAAGCCGTAGTGTCGTGCCGTCGGAACATCGCGGTCCCGGCCGTCGGGCGTAGAAGCTCCGGAAAAATGCGGTAGAGATTGCGAACGTCGCTTTCGTCATGGCCTCCCAACTCCTGGCCGCTGGAGCTACCGTGGAGCCAGAGGGCGACCTGCTGCAGAACGGGCGCCCGCCACTTACGCCAGGCCTGCCGTGCCAAGACATCTCCGGGGTCGCTCCCGGCGACAACGTGACATGGCGTCGTCAGGCGAGAATCGAGGAGCCGCTTTTTGGGTTGCACTACATGCGCCGGTCAGAGGTGCGTTCCGGGGACCGGAATTACGGGGCACCAAGTCATCCATAATGAATAGGCACTTCATAAAGAAATAATTTACCGTTTTGTGTCGGATGGAAGCTTTTAGTTCTTTGCCGTGTAAAGCGCGCATTGTTGTTAAATTCCACGAGGTCATTGAATAAGGAGCTTTCGGGCAGATTTGCTGGATAATAGTACCTGATTTTCGCGAGGACTTCATTTTCGCGAGTTTTGTGACTGATATCTGTGCGAAAAATATATGACGATTACCTAGCATACCACTCCAAATCGTGATATTTCGTGCCCACGAAATATTCCAAAAAGCCACACTCAGCAAAATGTCAAGCCCTTGAAAATAAAGTCTTTTACGGCAGTGCTTCTCAAACAGGGGTCTGCAACCCTTTGGGGTCCCACATGTCTTTGACCATCAGTCTAATCGAGCGATAAAAATTTGAATGCAGAGGCATTAACTGTGAAGCCGGTGAAAATGGCTACTAAATTCGCATTGGCTAGGTGTTGCATGTAGCAGTGAAATGGCACCTAAATTCCCATTGTCTGTGAAAAATTTCTCAGGGTGGTTCCTGTAAACAAATTAAATGAATGACTTTGAAAAGAAAATTTTGTACATTTCGATCTGGGTGGGAATCGAACCCATGCCTCCGGGGTGCGAGGTAAGCACACTTCCCCGATGCCACGGCTGCTCCACGGTTCTGGCTGACTGAAGCTGTTCCTATACTCCATGTCACTAGTTGCGTGCAGTATAGGCAAAGGCAATGCCAGGCAAGAAGAGAAAGGGAAATCATTGGGGTGCTGGGGAAGAGAGAAACCTCTCCTCTGTGACATCTCTAGTGCCCTTCCTTTCTCCCCTTGCCCTCTATTGCCCTCCTCTCCCATCCTGCATTCCTAGTGCTCGTCCTTTCTCTCGTTGCCTGGCGTTGCCTTCGCCTGCACTGCTCACGACTATTAACACGGAGTGTAGTGTGTGCATCATGCTTTCGCATTCCCACACAAACAATCGTAAGTGTCTCTGCCAAATTTTTTTATCGATGCAGGCTGTCACACAAAGCTGAGTAGACTAAACCATTTGTGCCAAGTGAGTAGGGTGAATTAGTCTCCATTTAAGAGATTCAAAGTTGGTTTGCACAGATTTAGGATTTTTATTTAACCTTCGTCGTCCCCCTTCCCCTGGTGGGGATGGGGTCCTCCATCACTTCTGCCGAATCGAAAGAGGTCCCCGAAATGTCGGTGGTTGAGAACCACTGGTTTGAAGCATTGGTCCTCTAAGCCATCACTGTTTCTTGCGCTCTTTATTGTCTCTCTGCGTTGAGGAGTCATTTTAAAAGCTCTTTGCAGTGTACAGTTTTTCCATGCGGTGTTAAAACACGATCCGCTCTTCTCGCAAACACCTTGTATTTCGAGACAACACTCCATATCCGTCTTCCGGAATATTTATTGGCTTAGTCCAAAAGTTTTCTTCGGAAAGGTGCCATTGTTTAGGTATTATGTTGCAGTACTCAAGGCCCATTCTCTTTTGGTTACCAGGTGCATGGACGTTACTAACGTACAAAAATGGAGATAAATACAACAATACCTGCAGCAACTCATCGAGAGAAGCTCAGCTCATGGTTGTGTGCGACAGCACGGTACATCACGTAAGTTGTAAAACCCCTCCCAACCTCTAGACTGTTTAGGCAGGGAACCGGGTAATGTGCTAAGGAACATGTAAGACAAGCAGTTGCAGACGGCGTACAATAGGATCCTCGTGATGGCGGCACATTTAGCTGCTGCACGCAAAGATCATCGGGTGAAGGTACACCCATCTACCGTAAAATCCCGTGCAGGCGCCCACCCAAAAGTTTGAGAGAATCACAAAAATTGGGATAGCCACTTGTTACGTCCAAGAGCAGAGAAGTAGAAGGGGAACATAGTAAGGTATAATTGCCTGTGTGATCCAGGGGAATGGTATAGAAGCAGTACAGGGTTTTGCGTATGTGAAATACTAATTTAGAAAGCAGCCATGCTGTTCTCATCGAGCCTGCTTTGCGCCGGCTCTCTTGCATAAAAAAAAAAAAAAAAACACTTGCATCAGGCTCTACCACTTTATACCTGAGCGCATGCTAAGGCTTATCCAATTTGCACCGGCTTCTCGAAGAATTAGCTGATAGGGGGGCCGTCTTGGTTAAGCTCGTTGGGCTCCGATGATCGCTGGGTTGGGTGCTTGATATGTCGTTTGTTTATATTTCAAACGTTCCAAAAGCATGGGATGGCCAATTAATTGTGACGTGGGCACGCGCGTGCTATTTTGCAGTAGACATTCGCGATTTGCAAGGTGGTAACAGGCACAAATCAGCAGAGACGAATGGCAGTGCTCAGAAGGCAAACGCCGTGATTGTATCGGACAGATGCTCTACTGAAAAATGCATTACTCCTGCTGGACGTTAAAGAACAAATGTTTAGATTCAAAAGGAAATATGTTGGTGCTAATTACTTACTTATACTAAATTAGTAACCTTTGTTGCCCTCTTGATCTGTGTGTACAGCATACACAAGGGTGGAGGGTACAATGCATCCCGATGTAGTGCTAACAGTTTTTTTTTTTCAGTTCAGGAGGGCAATTTCAGTTTTCAGAAGTCCGTCAACTGACAACTTCATCTTGGGGCACGAGACAGAGAGGCAGTTAATGGCGTTTTTGACAAGTAGTGTTATCAAAACAGGGGTAACAAGATTTTTCCGCAGGTAATGGAAATGAATTCCCAGCTGTTGTTGAATTGCACAGAGAATCCTGACCTTACAGGGATGCTGAACTGAAATTTGGAGCTCACAAAACAAGGGTGGAGCAATAGGTGGGACGTTGCAAAACCCAAAAATATCACTCATACTGCAACATCTCTAACGGTTGGCCTTATTTTTGGAAAAGAAGTTCACAATTGGACGCGGCCGACGAGACATGTGACTTCACGATTCTCATTCCTTCTCCTCTTCGCATCATCCTTTCAAGCTGGTGAACCAGAGCAAGGATGAGAGAAGTGAGGCCGCTTCCCCTCATTCTTAACTGTTCAAAGTGAATCGTGACGTCATGTTCCTCGCTTAATTGTGCCCTTCTTTTCCAAAAATACGGCCATCCATATGATATATCGATGTACGAGTGATGTTTCGGAGTTTGTAGCGACTCGTTCAACGCTTTGACTGCTTTATTTTGCGAAATCCCAATTTCCCACTATGCAAACCTCTTAACTGTTAGTCGGATTTGCATGAAATTTGCAGGTCATATTCAATGTTGTGCCATGCTTTGCCATGCAAAGTTTTGAGTTTGTAAATTTATTCATCGAAGATTTACATAAAGCTAACACTGCACCCCCTGAGGAAAGCTATTGTTTAAAACCAGTAATGATAATGGCCGGTTCTTTTGGTGAAACATATGGCATAATGCCTATGTCTTGCAGCTGTGAAGAGAAATTACAGAAATAACAGAATTTCTATTTAAATATTAAAATGAAAAAAATATTTGAGCTTTTGCATACATTAGCTTAAAAATACTGCAGCTTTTCATAACAAGAGAGCATGAGAGTGTGGAAAGTAAATTCACAGTTGTGTGCCTTACAAATTTCAGTGTAGAAACTCCTAAAACTGGCTCTGCACATCAATTTATTATCGGACAAGATTTCTCCTGAGAGTTTTGATCACAAAAAGTGGAAGTGAGGTGAATGCATTTCAGAAAGCTGCACTTTAGATGGTGCCAGCACATTTGAAAAAATTTATTCCGGAAAAAATACTTTAGTTACAGAAGTGAAACTTGCTGACAACATCCGTTGCATGATTTTCAAGCTGATAAAATGACTCGCTAAAAACTTTATAAACTTTTTTGGTAGTGTCTCCAGAGTCACCTCTGAGCCAAAATGATTCTGGTGTGTCTAACATCATGTGTTCTCATCTTTCTGTCAGCGAGAAAATATTTCTGGATGTCTCTCCGCACTTGCGTGCAAAGGCTGGAACCAGCACTGCATAGCTATTGCTAAGCTACATACCTCTCTTTTCAGGGCGTCCTTCAGATAGCAAACAGTAAGGCCAACTGCTCCTACCTGTTTGTCCTGGGCAGCAATGTCGTCTGCCCCAAGGACAAGCCACAGCAGCCGCCACATCATGGTCTGAGTGGTGGCTCTGTCTTCTGCATCTTGTGAGTGACTCAGGATTTCATACTGTAAAGGCTGGTTCAGTCATTTTCATTGGAGTGTGGCCAGCCGTATTACGACCATTGGTGGCTGCTTACGACGCGATAGCACTCTGGTGACATCTGTTTGGCTGGGCCTGGCCGCGGTGTAGAAAGCTAGGGTAGAGTAGCGCAGTTTCCGGAGGCATCTGACTTTCATCCCCGTTTCTCATGCGCTCTATTAGATGGCGCCACGGTCGTCGAGGCCTCCGAAGGGCGTTTGCTGCGCGGGGAACGAACCGTTTGGCGACCGAAGCGAAGCTTTCTACGTGCTAAACTGGACGGGACAGTTAAATGTGGTGCTTCGAAGCAGTGGTGGATATTCCTGATGTTGTGCAGGCTATAAACCGTTCCAAAGAAGGGCTTTCGAGCGATGTAATTTTTGGCGTCTTTGCATATGGCGCATGCTTGCTTTCTTCGTAAAGCGAGGATCTGGTACATGCTTGCTGGGCTGTGGAACAGTAAACATTGGAGTGTGTACAAAGCATGCCCTGGAATTCAAGCGCATTATCAGCGTGCGAAGCGCTCAGAATCGATCGTGAAGAATTGGACGCCTGTTTTGGCGACGGTATGCTATTTGCTCATAAGTACACTTTGATTCCGCAGCAGGCACAACGCTTTCCCCATTTGCACGAGCGAGTCTGCTTTAACATAAAAAATAAAATAAAAAAGACAGAATATTGGCACGCTTTTCACAATAAGGTAGTATATGTTTCCGGGCTACACTTACACTAATGCGTAAAGAGTGCTGTTGGGTGGTGCACTACTTTTTTTATTGGATCATTAAGCCCAAACGTCTACTAAATCTTTCTAACAAAGTTGACCCTTCAACGACTCATTGAACGAGGTGTAGACGTGGCAGAATTGGGCTCGGCCTATGGATTTTGTTTACGGAATAGAGGACTAATTTGTTACTCTAATTTTGAAGGTAAACAGCCTTTACTTTTGGGGCAAGCAACATTGAAAAGTAATTGTGTTGTATGTACGTTAGACAGCTGCACAATAGTCAGCATCAATGGGCGACTTGTCTCTTAGCTGTCGATAAGCAATTTAGCCAGTGCAGTACAACCGCTAGCCTGGGGTCTTTAACGTGCATCGCGCAGTAGTGATACACGATCGCACGCCGGTACGATGCTCATCCATATCGAAACGGGCAGGGGTGGGGCTTGAACCCAGAATCCCTGGGTTCTGCAGCACGAGCTTCTGCAGCACCAACACACTCGGCCACCAATTTTTTTTTCTTCTTTATTGTCGGCCATTGATTTTGTTGCAATGGTTGACGAACAAAAAGTAACAATGCACTGGCAGGTCGTGACTCATAGATGCACCACCCTTGCACTCCCTGCAGTTGAAGTAAAGCTGAACATGTTAAAAACAGTGCCTTTTGCGGGAAGGAGGTCAATGATGGTCCGTGGGTCCGTTTCTTTTTTTCTCGTTCTTCGTCGGGTAGCAGGGACAGCCCAGAAACGGCGAGATGTCCTGGCAAACGAGGTGGCCTCTTTCGCCGGAGCAGCTTTCTGCGGTTCGCTTACGATGACGTGGTCCCTGCAGACGGCTTTCCATGACTTTCTCGCGAACCTCGACTCAAGACGTCTCTCGCGGACTAAGTCCGACGGCTGCAGCAGGCGGTCCTTGTGCGGGATCGCGTCGCGCCGTACCTTTAGGCGTTTTTTTTTAGGAGTAGCGAGAACAAACAGCTTCTCTGTTCACGTCTTGCATCCCACATTCACCATGGCACGAAGCACTTCTTTGTCATTGCCGCAACTTCCAAAAGCGGAAAATGGTCGGAAGCGGAACGATAACCATAGAAGACTGCGCAGTGTTGCAGCTCGGCGCACGCTACCGCTCATGAAGGGACGGCCTCGGCGTCGGTGGCATGCCCTGGCAGCAAGAGGGAGAATCGCGTGCCGATCTTCACCACGAGCACTCTTTGGCGGGGGCGCAGCGCCACGCAGGTTCCCGAGTAAATACAGTTGCCGAAAAAAGAGAACCGTGTCTTTCGGCTCGGGTAAATAAACTGCATCAGTGAAAGCTCAGACTCCGTGAGAATATGACACTAGCGGCTGGCATAGACCACAAAAATTTTGAGAATGTGACGTTACCTGAATCAATAGGTAATTGAGAAAAACTAAATTTCTGTATGAGCTATTGTCCACCCAAGTCTAATATCGTCAATACAAAAACTGACATTGTGGATGCCTCTGGGATTTATATCAGAAAAAAAATCATGAGCCATTCCACTCTGCAAAGATGGATGACCAGCGAAGCTGTTTAGCACACGACACAGACGTGACACAGAATTTAGCGTATGCTCCATTAAAGTTGCACAATTTAGCAGCATGGTAGCTGCGTCTTTTTGATGCGTTCTCCGCCCTGTAACGTTCGTGGTCGTGTCTGGTTCGCCGCATGCGCTTGGCGTTTTGTGCACAATCTTCATTGGTGGAGTTAGCCACCGCTGACATTCTTGGTGCCGTTCCCACCGTTGCTCTTCGTAGGCACATTGCTCTTTGCGAGTCCTGACAATCCGCAGCCTCCCCATTACGATGAGAGAAGTGAAATAGACCTATTGCTAAATTACCCAAGCATCAGGAGAGTGCAGGGAATGTTGTTTTATGCACCGCATGTGCCAGCGTCTGCAGCAGTAACTGTTCTAAAGCAAAAGCCTAAAACAATTGGCATCTTTCCCTGGGCATTCCTCAACACTTCATTTTGGTGATTTACTTTGAATCTTTTATACGGGGAAGGCGTGCGGCATGTATGGCGGTGCGAGCGTAGAGTTTTTGGTCACGAACACGAAAAATCCACGGAACCCTAGCCATAAACAGCTTCGCTGTAAAAAAACTCTTGTCAGCAAAAAAGAGAATATTGTTTTCTTTCTTGCTGACAAGTCTTTTTTAACTGAAATAGATGCTACAGGCGTCCACAATGTCATTTCTTGCTTCAATGATATTAGGCTTAGGTGGGTGTTGGCTCATAGGGAAATTTTATCTTTATCAATCATGCTTTGATGCTGGTAACGTCATGTTGTCAAACTTTCACATTCAGCCATCCGCTTGCATCACATTCTCATGAAGTTTGAGCTTTCTGTGATTTTTAGTTTATTTATCTGAGCGGAAAAAGACGGCTCTCTTTTCTCGAAAATGCCTCGTATCTTCTTGTTTCGTGCTTTATTCTTTTCCCATTGCCTCGAAATAATTCTGACAATGTTTCATAGATGTCTATCTGTAACATGATTTATTATGGCTTAGCCTGTCTGTAATAGGGTTTATTATGGCTTTGGCTCTCTGATGTGCTACTTACATGCTTCATGCGTTTGTTTGCACATTGAATTATTCACATGTCTTTCTGTGATATGATTTATTATGACTTAGGCTTTCTGGTCTGCTAGTTATTTTTTTCCCATCCTTGCATGTTGGCTTTATTTTTTATTTTGTCGAAACGACTTCCGCTGCGCATCAATGTCGAAGCCTTTATGGCATTTTTGAGCACGCACTGAATATCACCAACCATAAATAGGGCGCAGCTTCGATCTTGCAAATGCTGCAAAACCTTCGGTCTAGCTCCGGGCCGGAAGCATTCAAGCGCTATCTGCACTCTGGCACCACCTTGTTTCAACTTTGTGCGCCGCGTCTTAGCGGAACGCCGAGTCGTAACACTGTTGTTGGCCACACAGGAACGCAAATGTCCGAACCAGTCTTTGGCTTTTGCGGGGCAAGGCACTAGACTTCATTCATAGGTACCATTACTTAACTCCTATCCGGTCAGTTATCCGACGTCATTTTTTCTCGTTTATTTTGTCCGAATCGCGGCCGATTTTGGTTTCAGAACCTCTTTTTATCAGGGTGGAACAGCCACATGAAGCCAGCTCTGTTCTAAGCATTACCACATTTAATGCAGGAAATGAAATGCTATGGTGAAGTTGAGAAATGCAGGGAGGAGTGTCCCACCTCCAGAGCGAGCTTCCCAGATTTGGCAGTGCTGCGACTTCTTGTAGACCTCAAGCACGCGCAGCCAAAGCCACGGAGCGTGGGCTGAAGGCCAGGCATTCAAAGGACGCGCTCCGCCGTTCTCATTCTCTTAGTGACCATAGTTTCCGAAACCGTTGTGCCGAGAAAAACATATCGCTGGTTTAAAAGGGTAACTGAAACCATCCGGTGCATCTGCAGTCGACCTTAAGTGTCTCCTGTAGCTCACACATGACATTGTGATGTTGCCTGCTTCAACGTTGCTGCGCCCGCGCTTGCCGGAATCTTGCCCGACCCTCGGAGCTCCACGAATTGTAGTGACTACTGGCAGAACTTATGCCGATGGCACGTGCATCATACTTGAGGAAATTCTCGGAGAAATTGTTTGCACCTATACCTTTCGGCAGTACCACATTTCTGCTGTGTGCAACAACCTTTCACAACTGGCGCATTTTATGGCCCTTTGGAAAGCAGAGATTTAGATTCCTTTGTTATTTTTCTCATAATTTATGCGTTCAGTGGTGCAGTAAATCTCCCACCATCCTTCCACGTCGTTGGGCCATTGCCCCTTTAGTCGAGAGCTACGCGAAAACCTTTGGGTAACTATTACGAGCCGTCTCATCTGGAGGATATTGCTAATGTTAGTTCAGCGGCGGAACGAGCATTGTAGTCACCGAGACAAAAATTGCCACTGGCACCCCATAGTGTAAAAATCTTTGCATGCAAGAGTCTAGTCGGGCCAATTCTGAAGTGTGCGTGCATAGGTTGAGACCCGTCTACATGAAAGAACATTCATGAACTAGAGAAAGTTCAAAGATCAGCAAAGAGCTTCATTTGCAGTAGGTACCGACGCCTAGACAGCCCATTGGAAGTGTTAAATTCACTCAGATTAAAGTCGCCGAGATCCCACCAAAAACAAATTGAGACTCAAGATCTTATTCTTCATTACCAATAATTACCTAGGTTTGGACTCCCCCAAAATCTCTCCTTTCTAATCTACGC